TATTTACAAAATTGATTTGGCTATTTTATATACATGTTTATATATGTTCATAAACATATGTTTGTGAGCACCTGCTATTCTAAGCAGAGGGGACATAGTATTTGGTTGGTGAGGCTGGATAGAGGAATAAAAAGATAAATACTCATACAGGAGAACATTTTGTTAAGTGGTAGATGCTGGAGAAGATTAGAATCAGGATCATGGAGAACTGATTTGGAGGCTTCTATGGAAGAAGGGGATTTATATAAGTAGAGAGGAGGCTGAGGGGACCCTTCTCGTTTCCCCAGCTATAAAAGGAAGATATTGCTTGCCTCATAGGGTTGTTATAAGGATTTAATAAAATAAAATATCTGGTGTCTAAGTATCTGTGGAACTTCCTGACACACAATGTCAGTGCTATTATTGTTATTCTTCTAGATGAATATAAGTGGTACTTTCTTTCATCTTCTTAATTTCCCCTTCCTAGATGCCTGACCACTCCTTTACCTTGGGGATGTTACATAGTTTTCATCTTAAATTCCAACTTGTTGCCTAAAACACATGGTTGAAAAACTTCTGAGATATCTCAGGTTTCAGCAGGGAAGAATGCTGTGATCAATTACTTCTACCAAGGCAGATGTGAGGTAGGCTCAAGACAGGGAGTGTTGGTGGATGGATGCTGGAGTAGCAGTATATAAACCAAATAGCTATCATCTCTGGCTTAAGTTCTATTCCCTTCTATGTATTTCTAGTCTTTCTTTCATTGCTTTTTGTAAACTCAAGAGTATAAAATGGCAGTTTCAGAAGTAGGATACCAAGTTTATAGCTAGACTTCTAGTTAGTCAATTAGTCCCAGAGTAGACAAGAATCTGGGCTATCTCTCCTGCTTCCAAGTATGTATTCTCAGATTTATATTCTAGTGAGCTGACTAGAATATTTAAAAAATACTCTCTGCAAAACCTATGTTCTTAATGTGATTAACTTGAATCAGATTGTTTTCCTAATGAAATCTATTCACAGAAAATAAAAGTTTGATTGAGCAAAAGTTGGGTTGGAAAAAAGAGCATTTTTTTTTTTTTTTTTTTAAAGTTGGGAGAGAAGAAAAAAAAGTTGAGAGGTTGGATGCCTGAATGGCTTTTAGATGGTAGGATGACTGGTATGAGATGTGGTAGGGTTGCAAAATGATACAAAAAGGGAAAGTATTTTAAAGACAAATGAAATTTTAATATTGAATGATAGAAGTTATAAAATTACAAAAATATTAAAATTTTTTTCTATTGTCTATTTCTCTCTGTAATTTTCTAGCTTTTCTTCCTTTCCACTTCTACATACAGTATTACTATATTGCCTTTTGGCTATCTGAGTTTCTACTCAAGTTTTGTATTTCGATCCATTTGTTTCTTCTGTCTTTTCTTACCTTCTCATTCCTTTTTTTTGTTTTAAGTGAACAGGTGGGGAGAGTACTTTATTTATTGGTGGAACTACTTTGTCTCACCCAACCACATGAAGTTCTCCTGAGAGAATGGATGTAACTAATGGATGTAACTCCTTTTGTGCATCTTAAGGTCCTTATAAGAAAAGATCTTGATTTCAGAAAGAAAGGAAGGAAGGAATAGGGAAGTAAATGGTGAGAAGATAAAACTGTACAATTTGCACTGGGTGCTCTGTCTTCCGTAATTCTTGTATTTTTGTATGTCTTTGCTTTAACAGATGGGTAAAAGCTTGTTTTTGTAAAACTTTTTTAATTTTAAACTTTCAATAATGAATTTTAAAATTCATTAAATGAGAATGAATATTTTTGGGTTGAGTTTTTGTTTTCATTTTTAAAAATGTCTCGAGTTGTATGCTTTAAAGTTATAATGGTGTTTTAGATACATATTCCTGAACCTTAGTGTTCACTTGTATTTAAAACACTTCTATTATTTTTGCAGCCAGGAAACAGAGTGGAAGGTACGAAAGTTTCTCAGGCTTATAACTATTACCAAGTACAATTCATACATGAACAATGGGACCTCTACAGAAAGAAGATCTGATTCTAGATCAGTTATCCTTGGAACATTTAATCATGTCAACTTTAATAGAAAGATTTAAAGGAGCCTTTCTTATGTCTATTTCTTTTTTTACTCAGCTCTTTAGTTTGACATGATCACAATTCTATTCATTCTGACTTGGCAATTTATAATGTAAAAGCAGTCTCTAAATCTGTTTGAAACCCACCAATGACATACAGTTGATTAATTAAATTCATACCTTTTAGAAATAAGAGAGCTCTGTTGCAATAGAGTGAGGAGGATGCAGCAGAATGTCATTTATTCTTTGAGTGGCATTATGGCAGTTGAAATAGTTTGACTCAGAGTAAAACTCTTTTGTGCTTCAGTGAATGACCTATCATGAAGGGGACCAAAAAAAAAGGAAATAATGATCTGTTAATTATGGTATTTTCAAAAAACTATTATTCACAGGGCAGTGGATTCTAAAGTTTCTATGTAAACTTTTAACCAGTAGTACTGTATTGTTTATGTGGAGAAATTGGAATATACATTTTTATAAAATGAAATTCTATGGCAAAGAAACTAATTTGTATTTATGAGTTGATGTTCAGAGACTTTCTCTCTTGATTTAAAAATAAGATTTCAGACTTTGCCAACATTTCACTTCTAATAATTTATTAATGAAAGTAAAATGGTTTTAGGTGTTATTAATTTTTATTGATTCATTGGAAAAGGTGGTGATGAAAGTGCCTATAACTTTTCACTAATGTATATGCTGTACATTTTTAGGGTTTCAATGTACATTTTTCCCTGTTAACTTTAAAATAATCATCCTTGTAGAGGGGCTGTGCTAATCTTTTTCTTTTTTTTTGCTATTAAATTTTATTTTGTGTATTTAAATGTATGACATATTTTTATTTATTTTATTTTAATGTAATACAATTAGATATTAATGAAGAAAATATAAAAACAGTTCTATGAAAGAATAATATTTTATAACAAAAATAAGTAGAGAACACAATGGTTAATACTCCATGTATCATGATCTTAAAACAATATATTTTCATTCACTAATCTCTCAACTCATTTCCTAATAATACTATACCTTTTTTTGCATAAAACATTTTAATTATTAACAAAGTATCTAACACTTGGTTTAATTTTGAATAATTTCTTCCTATTTCACAGTATCTATTATACTTTTTGGTCCTTATTTACACTTTCAGTTTCTCACACCAGAGAGAAAATGTGATATTTAGATGTGTGTTTGATACATTTCACTTAAGAGTATGGTCACAGTATCTTATTTTCTTCACTTACATATTAAGAAAATGTAATTGAAGAAAATAGAAAGTGAAAAAAGTGTACAGCATGATAGAAAAGCCATTACTCTGAAAATTTAAGATGGATGTTTTTGAATTGCCAGAGTTATGTGGGAAGAAAGTATTGATATTAAATTAGATACAGGGAGATTGAGCTAGAACTACTTTAGTCAAAAGTTGAAGAAGAGTGCTGGGGATTTAGCTCGGTGGCACCGTGCCTGCCTCACAAGTGCAAGGTCCCGAGTTTGATCTCCGGTACAAAAAAAAAAAGTTAAAGAAGAAAACCTTAAAAATTGTATATTCTTTCACTGAACTCTTTTTTTTTTTGGGGGGGGATGGAGATCGAACTCAGGACCTTACACTTGTGAGGCAGGTGGCGGCACCACTGAGCTAAATCCCTGGCCCATTCACTGAACTCTTAATGAAGGACCATGGCCTTTTCTTTGAGTAGGGATTCTGTGAATGGAGTTCAGCTACAAATTTCTGGTATAAGTCACATCTATACAGTTTGTCTATAATTTTCAGTTTCAATATCTTTATGGAGCAGAAAGAACCTAAATAGCATGAGGTAAAGTCTAAATGAAGAGTAGTGCTGGAGTTTTATGATTTTGTCCTAACCTTTTAGCTCAATACCACATAAATTAAGAGGATTCCTACTATGGTGGAGAAGTAGGCAATGGAAACAAGTATAAATGGGGATGTGTTTACATCCCTATGGATAACATGAAAAAGAAACTATATAATAATCACTTGTTGACACATATAATGTATATTTCTCTTTTTTAATATTTGACCATATAGAGTTAATTGTTTTTCTTTTGAGATTAATGCAATGTCTAATCTCAGATTTCAAAATAGCTTTTCAACTTTTTTGATTTTCATACTTTTCAAACTCTTAAAGAAACTGAAATGATGCAACTCTCCAATATAGGGAGATCTGATTAAATGTGTGTGCATGCAAATATACACATACATGTATATGCATACTGGATAAGCATATGTATATATAATTTATGATTTTCGTATCTATGTATATGAATAAAATTGGTGGAAAATTAATATTTGGGCTATATTTTTAGCAACCTATTTTGAAATTATAGATGAATTGTTTTTTAATGCAAATGTATTCCAACTATTTCTAGATATTACAATTATTGAGAATATTAATAATGTGGTTGGTATAATGTTTAAATGATTATATATTTTAGTGAATTAGTTTAGTTAAATTGCAGCAGTATGAGCAGCCTATTTGTATTTCTAATTTGACGCTCTTGGAAAAGAGTCTAGAAGGTGAACAGGAAAAGGGTAGATGGTGATCAAAGGATACAAGGTTTCATTTAGATAAAAAGGATGAGTTCTAATGATCTGTTATACAACTTATTGACTATTGATAAAAATACATTATTATGTATTTCAAAATTGCTAAAAGAGTAGATGTAAAGGTTCATACCAAAAAGAATGTATATGAGGTGATGGATATGTATATGTAGTTATTATTTGTTAATTAAAATAATAAAGAAGGGCTGGGGATTTAGCTCAGTGGTTCTGTCACCTGCCTCACAAGTGCAGGGACTCAAGTTCGAACCCTAGTATCCCCCTCAAAAAAAATAATAATAAAGAAAAAATTTTTAGAAGGTAAAAAATGGTCAGTATATTTAATGTATGATTCTTTACTCTTCTAAATGAGAGATTTTTTTTCTTATTTCAGATAACCGGATGAGGCCTCTTTTGAATTATGGTATTGCTTGGTGAGCATTTTTTAAATTTTTATATTACTTTTTTTTTTTTAAGTTTTTTTTGAGACAAGGTCTCGCTGTTAATTCAGGCTAGCCTTGAACTCACTATGTAGCTCAGGCTGGCCTCGAACTCAGGGTGATCCTCCTGCTTCAGCTGAGTGCTAGGATTACAGGCATGCGCCACCACGCCCAGCTCTATTACTATTTAGAATAATATCCATTAGCTCATACAGATGGTGTTGCATTTTTGTACTATTGTTGCAGTATGTCTATGGGCTTCCTGGTTGAAGAGACTGCACCAGTCATTTGGAGAGGCCTTATGGTAATGTCTGCCATCGAGAAACTGTTGAGGCAGGTAAGAAAGTTGCATTAAAATTTTTTTTTTTTTTATTGGCAAGGCTGTGGTTACTGCATTTGTTGATTGGAGAATTGTAAAAGTTTGCAGTTAAGTTTGAGATGTTTTACAAAGCAATCAAGTTGATGGGCTGAATGTGTAATGAGCAATGTGGCAATGAGTTGTGTGGCACCAGGACCAAATTTCACTGTTATATGATTTAATCTTTCTTGTTGCCTATGAGTACTAAAAATCCTAATGTTTTATTTTATATTGTTTTTGTTGCTTTCTTAAGTCTGCAGTAAGAAGAACAAACAAATAATCTACCTTCTTTAGATTTAGGGTTAATCTCATTATGGCCAAAATTGAATTAGTGTAGAAATTCTTGTGATTTTAAATTATTTCCCCAAAAGCTATAATTTTATTTTACTTTGAGTATGTTTACTTGTATAGCTATGTATATCATATCTGGTCAATCAACTTTAGTCTATCTTTAAGAAAGGGGCAGAACATTTCATTGGATAATGTAAGTGTGTGGGGTGGGCTATATGTTAATTATACTTTGCTTGCAATAAATTTTTTAATCAGTGGATATGAGTTTATAATTGTGTTCTAGGTAAATATTAAAAGTAATCTGCATTTACTCCACCAATTTACAACAGTCACCTCTAATCTATTTAGATTCTACTTTGGGTTTACCACCATGCTGTAAGTGTACAATTCTAATGCTAAATATTTCTATATTCATTTTCAGATGCAAATGTAATAGATGAAATATGTATCTAATGCTGAAACTCTTTTTTCTTTATAATATCGTGTCTTTCTAGCATTTCTCCTGTTTGAGTTTTGATAAATGTGCTTTTTGATCTTTGGACCCAGATCCCTATTCTTCCAGTTATTTAAGTGTCTTGACTGCATTCCTTCCTCTTTACACTCAGGTTCTGTTGGTTATTTCAGCTGTATTCCCCAAAATAGCCTTTCTTTCCAATTTCTTTGCTACTTTAACCTTTATTTTTTTAAATTAACTTAGTCTTTCTTTCTGTACTTCTGAATACTGTTAGATAATATAGAGTAATTGTGTTAATTGTCTGTGTTATACTTCTTTTTTTTCCAGTACTGGGTATTGAACCCAGGCCTCACACATGCTAGGCAAGTGCTCTGTCTCTGAGCTACATCACCAGCCTAACATTATACATGTTGATATTCAAATTTAGCTTCCTTCTTGACACTTTAGTCATCTGATTTTACTCATTGATCTTATTTATCACAAGCTCATCTAAAAAATAGTATTTACAGAGTCTGCTAGTCTGGCTGAGGACTAAGTGGGGATTTGGGAAAATGAGCTCTCTGACAAATAAATTGTATAAAAGTGGCAGTTTATTCTGGCAAGCTCTAAAGATACATTTTCAGCACACATACTATAAAAAATCAGGATGGAAGATGGAGAAAATGGATCCACATGTTGTTTTATTGGTATACTTAGAGGCTAAGATTGTATATAGATTGTATATAGACTTTGCTGTTTCTCATAAAGTCACTTTCATCTATGCATTTTAACGGGAACTGCAAAGCTGTTATTTTAGGACTCTACTGACTAGTGCCTTTCAACTGAATTGCCAGTTAAGCCCACCCCTTTAATTATTTATTTATGACAGTGCTGGGGTTTGAAGCTTGGGCCTTGTGCATTTCAGGTAAATGTTCTATCACTAAGTTATGTCCCCAGCCCTCATTTTTTAATTTTAACTTTGCTTTAGAAGTGAACCTCTGCATAGGAGTGAATTATAGAGGGTAGCTGATTAACTGGTTGATTTAAAAAAAACTTTAAGTAAATATACTTAAGTATATATGGTTTATCTTTCTACTGTTGATGAATATTTGAGCTGTTTCCATTTTTTGGCTATTGTGGATAAGACTGCTATAAATACTTATACAAGTGTTCTTAATGGGCCAAACTTAATGTTTATTTTTTAGCTTCTTAAGGTAGAAGAAACTTAGATAATTGGTTTTAAACATTTAGTCCTTTTTAAAATAGAAGTAGTTAAGAATGCTTATTTATGTATAGGTATTACTTAGAAGCCCACATATTCTCATATGCTAAGCTTACTGTCATTCTGTTAAAAATAATTAGTAATTTCCTTTTTATTTTTTACCTATGGATATTTCTGTTGTTTAATTTCTATACATTTGAGGATCTTCTTAAAACTTAGTGATATTGATTTCTAGTGTAACTTTGTTTTATTTGGAGAATATATTATGTAATATTTCAAGTATAAGAAATTTTTGAGACTTCATGAGTCTATATATAATCCATCTTTGTGACTGTTCCATGTGCTATGGGAAGAATGTGTATTTTGAAGTTATTGTGGTTAATGTTCCAAAAGTATCATTTAGGTCAGGTTGATAATGTTCAAATTTTTTATACCTCTATTGATTTTTTTGTCTAGTTATTCTATAATTTACTGAGAGAAGTTTTGGCTTGTGCTTCATATATTTTGAAGCTCTGTTCTTAGATGTGCATTTTAATATTGTTTTATCTTCCTGGCAAATTGACCCTTTTATTGTTATGAATGCTTCTGTGTATCTCTGGAAAACTACTCATATTAAAGTCTGATAATACTATTGCTGCATAAGCTTCTTATGCATACAGTTACCATGGAATATGTTTTTAAATTCTTTTGCTTTTAAACTTCATTGTTATTATATTTAGGTGAGTCTCTTAATAAACGGTATTTAGTTGTGTCTTGCTGTTTTAGCCAGCCCAATGATCTTTGCTTTTTAATTGGTTTGCTTAGTTCATTTTATACTTAGTATAGTTATTATTATGGTTGGACCATATTAATCTACCAATTAAATCTACCATTCTGACTTTCTCTTCATTTGTTCCATCTATTTTTTCTTCCTCTGGTATTTAAATTTTTTTTCTTGTATTCTTTTGGTTAATTGAAATATTTTTCAAATTCCACTTAATTCTTCTATTAACTTCTTCAGCAACTCTTTGTATTATTCTGTGGCTGCTCTAGAGATTACGTTATGTTATGATTTGTTAATCTGTTACTGTCTTCTTAAAGTTAATATTGTGCTACTCAATATAAAATTAACAACTTTGCAGCACATAGCTCCACTTTGTACTTTATATTTGTTTATGATATATTTAAAATATGCATATATTGTAATTCTCACTGTATAAATATAGTGCTATGAAATTTACTTAGTTGTCTTTTAAATGAATCAAGGAAACAATCTTTTATATTTACCCACACATTTGCTATTTCAATGCTGTTCATTTCTTTTTCAGATCTGAGTTTTATTTATAGACCTTTTTCTTTATTCTAAGAATTTCCATTAGTATTTTTTTGTGGTGTGGTTCTGCTAGTGAGAAAATTTTCAACTTTCATTTATTGAAAATATCTTTTTTTCTCCATGCTTTCACTATATCAAATTCTAAGTTGATGTTTTTTTCTTTAGTTCTTAAAGATGTTCTCCTGTTTTCAGGCCATGTTATTTCTGATGAGAAACCTGCTGTAATTTCTATAGTTGTTGCCCTGTAAGTGCTGAGGTTTCTTGACAAGCTTTCATAATTTCCTTTATATCTTTGAGTCCTTATTCTTACCTACCCCTTAAAAACTGATGTTCTCCAGAGTTATATCCATAGCTCAGAAGTTGAGAACGTGGACTCTGGAGTCAAATTTGCCTGGGTTTATTTCCTTTTTCACATCTAGTAGTCACGTAACTTTGGGTATAAACTTCTCTGTGCTTTAGTTTCTTCATCTGTAAAATGAGGTTAATGATAGCTACTTCATCCTATTAAATAAGTTTATATGTGTAATATGTCTAGAAAACCTAGTGTCACATACATGTACTTTGTTACTATCGTATTTTATCAACTACAACATAATTTTCTTTTTACATTTTCACATTTCCCTAAATAGGATGCATCTTGTAATTGATGGCTTTTTAGGATTGAAATGAAGTTCTTTTGGAGAGGTTTTGTATTGTTTCTCTGGTCATCTGTGGACACTTTCAATCTAAATTCTGTTAGAGGCTGTTTGGACCACTTTGATGGTGTGAATTCAGATTGGAAAGCTGCTTGGGTACCAACCTGTGGTTCATGATCATGAGGAGGTTCCATCCCCACACCCTCCTGCCAAGGCCAAAGTTCAAGGTACATGTTTCCTCCTGATTTCTTTTTGAGCTGTGGATTTTTCATCTACCTTTAGTTTAAGAGGGTGCAGTCCTTCGGGTTCCCATTTTTATGCAGGATTCTCCTATTAGAATATAATTCATCATAGATGCTTCCCCCCTGCCCCGCCTTATAGTGCTACCTAAAACAATGGTGTATTTTACAGTTGGTTAAATGTTAGGAGCAACAGTTCCCTAACGTATTTCCACAAAAGAATCATTTAGCAATCTTTAAAAACTTTCAAATTTCAAGTCACACTCTAGGCAAGTTAAATCACAGACTTTGGGTATGCAACCTAAACATAAACATTTTTGGAGCTATTTTTCTCGTCTGCAGATAAGTTTGCCTGTGGTTTGAAGAGTTTTATGAATGACAGTTAAATGAAAATGAGAATTGAGATAGAGCAAGGAGAAAATAGATGTTATATGGCCATTTCTGACCCTTTCGTAGAATATGGAATGAAAAAAGTCAGGTTAAGAATAAATTTGAATCAAGACAATGCAATGGAGATAGAGTTCTGATCTGGTTATTAGATAAAATAGCCCATACAATGGGGATTGGAAAACAGTGTGGTAGTTTAAGGAGGACTGGCATCAAATGGAAGCCTTTTGTTTTATTGCCTTCCCTCCCCTAAAGGGGACAATCATACCTTTTCCCAGGTGATAGGATTTAGTGAGGAGCGCCTGAAGATTATAGAAAATGAGAGGATTATTGAAAGAGGAATATTATGAAAAAGGCAAAAAGAAATGGGGTTGAGCTAAGCATGGTGGCATATGCCTGTAATCCCAGTACTCAGGAGGCTGAGGCAGGAAAATTGTCATGAGTTGGAGCCAAGCCTGGG